CTGTACTGAGACCCCTCCCATCCAAAGAGGCATCCCCAAGGTCCAGCTAGCTTCCTTTTCTAGCTGAGGCCACCCCTCTGAGCCTCTTCCCAGGATAGGAGGGAAAGGGCTGCTGGGAGGCAGGGAGCTGCCTGGTGCAGGGAAGCAGGTGGCTGGAAGGGCAGGTGGGTTGGGGAGGCTGGGATCAGTGTAGTGGAAGCAGAGGAAGTTTGGTCTGGCTTGTGGCCCAGCATATCCCTGGGCTCTGGTGCTCTCCAGCTCCTCTCCCTTGGGAAGGTGAGGGATTGGGCCCCACGTGGCCCTCTTCACAGGACTGTTGCTTCCCTCCCCCAGCTGAGCTAAATTGGCCCCCAGGATGCCTCCCTCAGGCCTCTACCTGAACTCTGATCAAAGGGGTTCCAGTTCCACCCCCTGCAGGAAGCTCCCACTTAACCCCTGCATCCTTTCCTCCTAGCCAAATCAGGAAGTAATAAAACCAAAAGCTCACCAGCAGTCTTGAGGCCTCAAGTCCTCCCAAAGTGGGGCCTGCTCTGGATCCCTCTTTTCCCTGTTCCTTGCTGATACTGTCTCTGCCTACAGCACACCCCCCTTAGATGACTTTACCAATGACGACATCGACTGTTACATGATTGCCATGGAAACCACCGTGGGCAGCGAGGGCTCCAGGGCGCAGCCTTCCACTTCCCTCCCACATGTCTCCCAGCCCTCCCATGACCTTGCACCCTCCTCAGAGGAAGAGGAGGAAGCTGAACCCAGTACAGTGCCTGGGACTCCCCCACCCAAGAAGGTAGGAGCTGGAAGTTGGGGTAGGAACTGTGAGGTGAGGAAGGAAGCCGCTCCTAGAACTAACTGGGCTTTCTCTATTCTCTTTCCAGTTTCGTTCACTCTTCTTTGGTTCCATCCTGGCCCCTGTGCACTCCCCACAGGGTCCCAACCCTGTGCTGGCTGAAGACAGTGATGGTGAAGGCTGAACTTGAGAAACTGAAGCCTATATCCAATGGCCCACGGACCAGAAGCAGGCCCAGCCAGTGGCAGGGCTGGTCCTCAGTCCCTGGGCATGGAAAAGGGGCTATGCTTAGGGTAGGCCCCACTTAGCTATCTCAGAGCTGCCTAGGCTACCACGTTTGGTCTGTGTTCTATATTATTCACTCAACTGTGTCAATCATGTCTCTTTCTGGTGCCCAGCTACCACCAAATAGGTTCCTCACCTCTTTCTTACTGTAGAGCCACAGGCCATACCTTCCTCAGGCTTGCCTGCCTCTTTAAAAAGTGCTGATTACCCTCTGCCAATCATGAACTTCCTATCAAACCTCTGGGACCTTCTGTGGTTGGTAGGAACAATTTCTCTTGCTTTCCCAATACTTGGGCCTTGGCTTGGCATCCTAATAGCTTCTGAACCTGAGCATGCCAGTGGGGTTGCCCTGGCTGGGCCCATGTCCAGCCAGTCAGTCTGCCTCCCCAGGTGGCTTCATACCAAAGGGCTGCTGGCCCACTGTCTGGGATGAGTGAGACAGAGGCCATGGCGAGAATCCAGCTTTGACCTTTATTCAAGAGACCAGATGGGTTGCCCCAGGATCCAGCTGCCAGCCATGCAAGGCTGGAGACCCACAATCTGGTCTGCCATTGCCCTGAGCTGCAGCCTTGGCCCCAGGCTTCCACTGCAGCCACCACAGGTGCTGGTGGGAGGGAGCCCTGGGGACTAGACGCTGCTATTGATTCATTAAAAAAAGAAAGGAAAAGACACTTAACGCTGTGTGTTCCCCATGATGGGTGGGCCTGAGGGGACCGTGACCCATGGCAGCATGATTTCTGTACAAATAATCCATCGTCTGGGGCAAAAGGGCAACACATGGAGGCTATTTCTTGGCTTTGGCAGAATTGCGGGGTGGGGTGATGGGACGGCCTCCAGGGTTCAGGCCACTGAACTGCCCATACTTCCCCTTGTTCTTGTCAGCGGGCTTGAGGATCTGAAAGAGAAAAGGCGGGCGGGTCAGGTTCCTGGCACTAAGTCAGGCAGCCCTGACAGTCTCTTTCCCACACCCACCTGGAAGGAGCACATAAGGGTCTCATCCACGCTCATCATGGCACCGGCATTGTCAAACTCGCCACAGTAGTTGGGAGCAGAGAAGAGTGTCACCAACTGCCTCTTGGCAAAGAACTCATAGCCATCTTCTACAACCTGCGCAAGGATAGAAAACGTTTGGTCTCCAAGTTAGGCAGCTGGCCATCCCCAGCCTGCCGTAGGACCACCTGCCCACCTGGTGCGCCCGGCAGATGAGGTCCAAATCATGCTTGTGCAGGAACTTGGCCACCACCTCCGCCCCAAAGGTGAAGGAGACACCACGGTCATTCTCGCCCCAGCCTTGAACATCCTTGTCAGGGTCAGACCACAGCAGATCACACAGGAGGCCCTGGTCAGGCACGTCTGTGGGCCGCATAATACGCCTGATCTGCTCCATGGACTGCAAGTCTGGAGACAGGCCTGGAGGAAGGAGGTTTTCCTTAAACCGAAAAGCAAGGGCTCTCCCATGCCCAGAAGCTCTTGGGGGATCAGTCTCTCCCTCCCCACCACAATGGGCTCCTCTTTTGATCTCCTAAAGTCCAGGCAGGTAGAATTCATTATCCCTCAGCTTTTAAAAGAGCAAGGAGCAGACCTCCATGGGGAAAGGAGATGAGTGAGTTGCCTACAGGATGCCAAATGCCACAACAGGAAGGAGTGCAGCCAAACTGGGGGGTGGCGAGTGACTGCCTACAATAGTGACATCCAGATGAGAGTCAAGGAGAGCTACTCCAGGAAACTGAGGAGAGTTCTGCCAACAACGTTCCAAGGCCCCTAAGGATGTGGCCCAGGAACCCCAAGCATAGGCCCCACTGCCACTCTCACCTCCGTGGCAGCAGAAGATCTTCTCGTCTACAATGGCTGCAATGGGCAAGCAGTTGAAGCAGTCGGTGAACGTTTTCCACAGTTTGATGTTGTAGCGTCTCTTGCCTGCACAGGAGAAGGAGATGGCTCACAGGGAAGACTACTCACCCCACGCAACCCTCGGGCTAGCTTTCTGCGCACCCCAGGGTACTGTGTGGGTTACTCTGGGCTTGAGCCCCCCCTCCCTGTACTATCCAGAGTCCTCCTAATCGTGCCTCCCAGAATTCTTTTTTTTTTTTTTTTTTGGATTTTTTCAAGACAGGGTTTCTCCGTAGCTTTTTGGTTCCTGTACTGGAACTAGCTCTTGTAGACCAGGCTGGCCTCGAACTAACAGAGATCCACCTGCCTCTGCCTCCCGAGTGCTGGGATTAAAGGCGTGCGCCACCACCGCCTGGCTGCCTCCCAGAATTCTAACACAGGAACCTGAACTCCAGTCTGGCCCAAGGTCGATGTTGGCACCCACTCCCAGGAACCAGGCCAAACTGAAAAGCAGGTCTGGTTTATTCATACAGGCACCCTACAGATAGATACCTTAGATGCTTAGGTAAGGGATTTAGTAGAGGTGAGTGTCATCAGGCAGGACTGAGGGGGGAGCTTTAGCAAATGGGCAGTCCTCCATGCACCTCCGTTCACCAGGCCCTTCCTAAGTGTCAGTGATGACAGCATGTCATGGTACATAAGGGGTCTCTGGGCACCAGACCAATGTAAGGGTCCTATGAAGAGGAGGGAATGTAGTTCTGGGTAGCTCACATTCATCATAGAAGCCGTAGATGCGGTTGATGCTGGCACACTCGTGGTTCCCACGGAGCAGAAAGAAATTCTCAGGGTATTTGATCTTATAGGCCAGCAGCAGGCAGATGGTCTCCAAAGACTGCTTGCCACGGTCCACATAGTCCCCCAAGAAAAGGTAGTTGCTCTCTGGGGGGAAGCCACCATACTCAAACAGCCGTAGAAGGTCATAGTACTGGCCATGGATGTCACCTAGGAACCAGAGAAGGCTAGATAGGAGCAAGATCTAAACTTGAACCCAGGGCCAGCAATAGGCCATAAGGCGAGAAGAAAACCAGGCAGTGGGGCGGGAGTGGGGGCTATTTCCAGGAAGCTAGGGGGTTCTGAGCAAGGGCTCACCGCAGATCTTGAGAGGCGCCTCAAGCTCCAGAAGAATAGGCTGGCTCAGGAAAATCTCCCGGGATTTGAGGCACAGACCACGGATCTCGTTCTCTGTTAGTTGCACATTCTTTCCAGGCCGTGAGCCCTGCACTGGGTACGGAATGGGGTCTTAGGACCCTAACCTCGCAGGCAGGATCGGAGTAGGCGTCATACCCTCCCATCATGGGCAACTGTTGCCAGGGAGCCGCCCCGAAACCTCTGCCTCAGGCCTCCGAAGGCTGATCCGACCCTCTCAGTCACCCAGGAGGCCTGAGAGAGACGCCTGTTTTCAGTACCCTGTCAAGCGAGGCCTCCCCGCTCCGGGCCCTTTTCCCAGCTAGCTTCGCCGGCCTCTCACTCTGAGTCCGGGCCACGCGTGCGGCCCCGATCCCGGGGCCCACTCCAAAGCCGCGGCGCGCGGACGGGGAGGTGGCCGTGTCCACGGAACCTCACGGCCTGTCCCCGCCCAAGCGACGCTGGCCCCCGGGAGCCGCAGGCCCGCCCGCGCGCCACTTCCGGACGGCGACGGGCCCGGGGATGGAGCGTGCGCCCCTTCCCTACCCCTGCCCACCTTCCAGCAGGCGCCCGATGATGGAGTCCAGGTTGAGCTTCTCGCTGTCGGACATGGCGGCGCCGCCGCTCCTGCCCAGCAGCTCCGGGCCCTCTCCTGCCTCCCGCCCTCTCGCAGCCTCCTTCCGGCCTGGCTCTCCTTCCGCCCGCCCCAGCCCGCCCCCAGCCCTCTGCCCCGCCTCCTCGGCTGGCCGCCCCGCCCCGCCGCGCCCGCCGTCCTCCGCTCTCTGGCGCCCCCGCTGGACGGCAAGCGCCTCAGCTCGGAGGGCCTCGGGGGAGCCGGCGGAGCCTAGCTGGGTGGCGGGCGGGGCTGGTAGGGCGGGGTTGAGTTGGCTCCACCCCGGAGGACTCACCCTGCCGCGTTTGGAGGCCTTAGGGCCGGAAGTACTGTGGAAATTGTTTTTCTCTCTCAAAGGTCTCTTCTCACCCCAGCCCTCCGTGAGGTTGTGGTGTGAGCACGCTAATCGCTGACTTCTCAAGCCAAGGCTTAATGATATTACTAATGCTTAGTGATGTTGACAGTGGACTCCAGACCCAGGCCTTACGTTCACTTCGGGCTTTGTGGCCAAACCCATGGACACCTGCTACTGAACTCTGAGCGTGTTTTGGTCCAGGTTGCCTTGGTGCCTGCTGCATCATTTTTTTTTTCTTCTGTGAGTGATGTAATAGTATTGCACCGCGTTCATGTTGTAAGTACTTTGTGGAGTATTCGGACTTGCCTAGCATGTGCAAGACCTTAAGTTCCATCTCCAGTTCTGGAAGAAAAAAAAAAAAAGAAAGAAAAAGATATTGTTTTTAAACAGTAAAACATTAAGGTAGGCATGGTGTCATAAACCTGAAATTCCAGTGCCTGAAATCCCAGCATCAGGATTCTGGAGGCAGGAGGATCAGAACGTCAAGGTCATGCTCAAGGATATAGAGAGTTCACCTTCTTCTCAGGTGACATGAGACCCTCATTCCCAGACAGTAACCCCTTCACTCCCCAAAAAGAAAGAAAACGGAGGAGGGAGGAGCCAAAACATTAAAGCATAATTCTTATTGGAACCATGAATTGGGTTTTACCTGCTTGTGGCCTGTCATCTTTATCTCTGGTGAGCTAAGGGACTCATCACACCAGCATCCTGTGGATGGGAGGAGCTCAAGGCTAGGGCACTAGGGCAAGCAGGAAGAGCCTCATAGAGGAAGGGGGGAGTCCCCCCCACCTGGGAGGGGCCCCCAACAGGCTGCTGAAGTTGAGACTGAGGAGGAAGTGAGAGGAGGAGGTGAGGTGCAGCAAGGAGGTGAGGTGGGCTGCTGGGGCTGGGGCTGCACCTGGGGCTTGGCCCACTCCCCAGTGACGGAGGAGGCTTAGTCTCCTGTGGCTGAGTACTGGTGACTGGAATCCCCGGCCTCAGCCTGACAGCTCCTGGCTGCTCACGCTGGCTCTCTGTATGTCTTGCAGCCTGTGACACTGGGGTCTAGGGCACAATGGCCCAGACCCTGGGGGAGGACCTGGTGCTGTCGTCAGAACTACAGGATGATTCTAGCTCTCTAGGGTCTGACTCGGAGCTGAGTGGGCCAGGTCCATATCGCCAGGCTGACCGCTATGGCTTCATTGGTGGCAACTCAGCAGAACTGGGGTAAGTGAGTCATGGGTAGGGAGACAGGGTACAGAGACTTGAGGACTGAGTTCTGAAGGTAGGCCCGGCCTCAGGGGCCTGGCTGTAGAGACTAACCCAGAGCTCAGGTAAGAAGGGTAGTGGAGGTAATATCCCTTTATGGCTCTTTTATCCTCCGAGGGTCTGAACGCTCCCCTATAGCTGCACATCTTCCCCCGTTTAATCTCTGGCCCAAGAGCACCAGATGGAAGTCCGTACCTCTTCTCATTCTCTTCTTCAGGTTTCCCTTAGACAGTTAGTCCAGAGACAGATAGAAACTGCCCCACATCACACAGCAGATCAGAAACAGGAGCAGATTCACACCCAGGACTTCTGGCTTCCAGGCCAGGGCACTGTCTAGCCAGCATCCCTGTGAACTGTCTCTGTTGTGGGTGACAGCCAAACAGACCCTCCCTCAATGCATACCTCCTCACCCCCTCAGTCTTCAGTTCCTGTTCCCCATTGAAGCCAAATTCCCTTCCTTTAACCATGACAACCATTGGCAGCTTCTGGGGCACAGATGCCCGTCCAGGACTCCTCAGCGATCCCCAAGCCAGGAGCTGGGGTTTCTCTGATGGCCTGGGACGGGAAGGTATATGTTCCAAGGAATGCTGTGCCATGTGCCTCCAGGCCTGGTCAACCCTCTGCAGACCTCATCCGCCAGCGGGAGATGAAGTGGGTGGAGATGACCTCACACTGGGAGAAGACCATGTCTCGACGATACAAGAAGGTGAGGGAAGAGGGGTCCGTGTCTACGTCCCTGTAGCTCTTAATCCCCGCTGCCTCTGATGCCTTGGCCAATGGAAAGCTATAAGAGAGGCTGCCCTGTCATAACGACTGGACCTCACCCGCAGGTAAAGATGCAGTGCCGGAAGGGCATCCCGTCTGCCCTGCGGGCCCGGTGCTGGCCCCTGCTGTGTGGGGCCCAGATGTGCCGGAACAACAACCCTGGCACCTATCAGGTGAAGAAGTTGGCAGTGGCCGGCTTTGCCTTTTACTCCCCTCTCAGAACTCCTTGCTACCCTGAGTCCTCACATCCACCTTCCTACCACCCATAGGAGCTGGCAGCAGCCCCTGGAGACCCGCAGTGGATGGAGACCATTGGCAGGGACTTGCACCGCCAGTTCCCTCTGCACGAGATGTTTGTGTCACCCCAGGGACACGGGTATGGGCCAGGAATACCCACTGACCCCAAGTCCTCATGCTAGATGCTTCAGCCAGTTCCCTAGTCCAGAGTTACACCCTTGACTGAGGGAGACGATGGCCCGGGCAAGAGGACCCGAAGGGCAGGGAAGGGTGCCTAGGCTAGCCCTGATGAGATCTTCTGGTACAGGCAGCAGGGGCTGCTGCAGATTCTCAAGGCCTACACTCTGTACCGGCCGGAACAGGGCTATTGCCAGGCTCAAGGCCCTGTAGCTGCTGTGCTGCTCATGCATCTGCCCCCAGAGGTGAGTGACTTTGACCCTGCTCTGAAATCCTCAGTCCCTGTTCACCTGTGCCCCCAGGGTCCTGAGCTCTTAGACCACCAGCCTCCAACCCCAGGTATTCATACCTCAGGAACTGTGGTCCTTTACTTCTGAGCCCTATTCTAGTGATCAAAGACATGAGTCCACCAGTCTCAGTAACATTTAAGTCTATCATCCTTGACTTTTAAACCTGGGACCTTTGACCCTGACCTTTACCCCAGTGAAGAAAATTTCACTTTGGCATTTTGAATTCTGTTCTGTGCCCAGGCTGGCTTTCCCTAGCTTATGGTTTGTGACACTGAGCTGGGAGTCTGGAGCACCATGGCCTTGGCCCGGGGTGGGATGCCAGTGACCTTAGGATTCTGGGATATAAACTCTGAAAGTTTCCCAACTTTTCCCCAGAGGGCCTTATGGCCCCCAAATACAGAACCTCAGGCCCTGTGATTTCCAACCCCTCAACCTAAGACAGGGCAGGCTCCAAGTGGGGTGGGAGTGGCCTAAGTCCATGCCCCTGTGCCTGTTCCCTACCTCTTCTCCCCCTCTGGACCCTCCCTTCATGAGGGCTCACAGGCATGCACCCTGCCCCCAGGAAGCCTTCTGGTGCTTGGTGCAGATCTGCGAGGTCTACCTCCCTGGCTACTATGGGCCCCACATGGTGAGAGGCTGGGTAGGGATATGAAAATGGGAAGTGAGGGCTGGGGGGAGTGAGGGATCAGAAGCCTGGGTTTGGGGAGTGGAGGTTTGCAGCACTGGCAAGCCAGACTGATGAGAAGCCTGGCTGTAGGAGGCAGTGCAGCTGGATGCTGAGGTGTTCATGGCCCTTCTGCGGCGGCTGCTCCCACGTGTGTACCAGCATCTGCAGCAGGTAGGCGTTGGGCCGCTGCTCTACCTGCCCGAGTGGTTCCTGTGCCTCTTCACCCGCTCACTGCCCTTCCCCACAGTGCTGCGCATCTGGGATGCCTTCCTTAGCGAGGGTGAGTGGGGCCTTGGGGGGCTAGCTCACTTTTCTGAATTTGCTGGGCCCTTTTGGAGCCTTGCGTCACATGGACCTGAGTGTGTCCACCTCATTGACTCAATCCCAGAGTAACGTGCGAGAGCCTCTGCTTTGTCACAAGGACCACAGTGGGCGGCCGGGTGCAAGGATGGGGATGGGGGCCAGGGGTCTGTGAGGCAGCAGCCAGGCTGGCCAAGACACACGTGGGATGTCAGAGGCTCAGGATGTGCAGGCCTGAGGCGTGGTCCACAGCAGTAGGAGATGCTCCTCAGGGCCTTGTGGCATGGCTCTTCCTGAGTGGCCCTGCAAGCTGACGCTGACAGCTAGCTTGTGAAACTTTCATTCTGGTGGGGGTGGGGCTAGGAGGTGACAGTACCCGAATTAAGAAGATATTTATAGAATGTCATAAGTGCCATGAAGAAAATAAATCAAGGGATGTGACAGGGTGTCAGGAGAGCAGCAGGAGGTGGTGGCTGTTTTTAAAGATGGCTCTGGCTTCTCTGTGAAGGCGGTAAACTGGAAGGCACGCAGGTGGAGGTTAGAGGCCAGGAAGGCCACCACAGGCGGGGAGATCAGGTCGCAGCCAACTCAGGTGACTCTTGGGAGGAAGGGCATGGAGAAGTAAGGGTGGAAAAGAGAGTGGAAGGGGCATCAGAGCAGAGCCAAGCTGGACTATGGGTCTCTAGGGCTCTGCTTTCTGCTGCTCCATATGTCTAGAGATTGCTCCTACAGTCAGATTCGAGTTTGGGCTGGTGATATAGCTAGCTTGCCTAGTATGCAATAAGTCCCTAACCCAATTCCCAGCATTGTGTAAAACTAGGCATGGTGCCGGGCGATGGTGGCGCACGCCTTTAATCCCAGCACTCGGGAGGCAGAGGCAGGCGGATCTCTGTGAGTTCAAGACCAGCCTGGTCTACACAGCTAGTTCCAGGACAGGCTCCAAAGCCACAGAGAAACCCTGTCTCGAAAAACCAAAAAAAAAAAAAAAAAAAACTAGGCATGGTGTCATATGGCTGTCATCACAGCACTTGGGAGGCAGTAGCAAAAGAATCAGAAGTTCAAGATCCTCTTTGCTTACACACTGAGTTCAAGGCCAACTTGAGTTACATGAAACTCTGTCTCCAAATCTTAAAAGCAAACGAACAAAAATCCTGGCCTAGGTACCCAAAGCATACATATCCCCTCTCCTCTAGCCTCTAATCCCAAAGAGGTAGGGCTGATCATGGTCCAACTGATCCCTATCCCCTCTATCTGGGGACAAGCACTGCACAGGTTCCTTTAATAGCATCGATGACATTGTCAGCAGCAATTGTTCCTTTCTAAGTCACAGTTGTCTCTAGGTCTCCCTGACATTCTATCTGCTCTTAGTGCTTCAGAAGATGCCAGAAAGGGATTATGAGGCCCTAGGACTGGTCAAGGTTACTCTCTCTCTCTTTCTTCTCTCTCTCTCTCTCTCTCTCTCTCTCTCTCTCTCTCTCTTTGTGTGTGTGTGCGTGCACATGCGCGCGTGCACGCACACGCACATGCATGCATTCATGCACACACACGCATGCACATGCGCACACAAATGCTATGAGTTTTATGCTCTTGGTTTAGGAAGAAATGAAGTTCTGCCCAGAACCTTCCTAGAATTAGAAGGTGGCAGATTCAAGATGGAAAGTCCTTAATAGGCACCAACCCAACTGCTCCTTGAGGAGACAGGATACCGAGACTCTGAGAAGGCTTGGCATAAGATTATTAGCAGTCCCTGGCTCCTGGCTGGCTGCCCTGCCTGTGAGTGTCTAGTGTCCTGGGACTGGCTTACCCCCTGCAGGTCCTGTGTCCTCAAATTCTAGTCTTCCTTAGGCATCATAATCCACGTGTCTAATCCCAGACCAAGGCAGGAGGATTGCTCTGAATTCAAGGCAAGGCTGGATCACGTAGTTCCAGGCCAGCGTGGCCTACAGAGTGAGTTTTATCTCAAGAAAACAAAAAGCCAGATGTGTGAGCTGATGAGATGGCTCAGCGGGTAAGGTCTGATGACTTGAGTTTGACCTCCAGGTCTCACACAGTAGAAGAAAAGAATTGACTTTTTTTTTTTTTTTTTTTTTTTTTTGGTTTTTCGAGACAGGGTTTCTCTGTGGCTTTGGAGCCTGTCCTGGAACTAGCTCTGTAGACCAGGCTGGCCTCGAACTCACAGAGATCCGCCTGCCTCTGCCTCCCCAGTGCTGGGATTAAAGGTGTGCCCTTAACCTCTAGAAGAGGTTATTTGACCTTCACACATGTGATGTGGCAGTACAGTACAGTTCATACACACACAGACATGTATGCACGCACGCACACACATGCACACACACACTAAATAGATAACCAGGTGTGGTGACACACCTGTAATTCCAGTATTCAGGAGGCGGAGGTGGGAGAATTGTTGCAAGTTCAAGGCCAGCATGGGCTACATAATGAATTCCAGGCCAGTGTGGGCTACAGTGAGACCCTGTCTCAAACAAACAAAACAAATGGAGCTTGGTAGCACACACCTCTAATCGGAGCCTTCAAAAGCAGAGGCTAATGGATCACCGTGAGTTGAAGGCCAACCTTGGCTACACGTTAAATTCCAGCCAGACAGGGATACAGATTAAGGCTGTCTCAAAAAAACAAAACAAAAAACCAGGCACTTTGGTGTCGCGTGCCTGTAATCCAGCAAGGAAGAGGCGGGGACTCAGATCAAGGTCATGGTCATCTCAGCTACAGAGGCAGACCGAGGCCTGGCGACTTGAGACCCTGTCTCCAAAAATTAACAAATTGCAGTCTTTGGCCGTTTTTTCTGACTTGAGCTGAGGGGAGTGAGGTAAGAGGAGCAAGTCTGAGGGCTGACTCAGCTGAAGAACTGAGCAGGCAGACTGGTTTCTTGGGAGTGATTAACTCCCCTCCCTGCAGGTGCCAAGGTACTGTTCCGTGTGGGGCTGACACTCATGCGCCTGGCACTGGGCACTGTAGAACAGCGTGCAGCATGCCCAGGGCTCTTGGAGACACTGGGGGCCCTTCGAGCCATCCCCCCGACCCAGCTGCAGGAAGAGGCCTTCATGTCCCAGGTGGGTATCTCTCTCAGCTAATCAGGCTCAGTGGCCTTGCCCATGCTGCACAGCTGGGAACACAGCCCAGGTGAGGCCTGTGTAGCTCCTGTACTCTGAGCTGCAGAGAATGTGAGAACCCCAGGCCTCAGCTGTCTTTCTTCGGGTCCCAGCCAAGCTGTGTCTCAGCCCTCAGCCACTTCCTGGGGTGGTGTACTGCCTGCCCATGGGGACCTCAAGGCTTCCTGCTCCCTGCCACCCCAGTCCAGGCAAAGGCATTGTCAACTGTTCCTCACAGGTGCACAGTGTAGCCCTGTCTGAGCGAGATCTCCAACGGGAAATCAGAATCCAGTTGGCCCAGCTGCCCAAGTCATCTCCTGGGCCAGCACCTCTGCCACAGGCCCGCCTTCCTGGAGCCCAAGCCATCTTTGAGTCCCAGCAACTGGCAAGGATTCGAGGAAGCACCAAACCTGAGATACCCCGAATAGTGGTGCAGCCCCCAGAGGAGCCCAGGCCACCACGGCGCAAACCACAGACTCGTGGCAAGACTTTCCATGGGCTTCTGACAAGGGCCCGGGGACCCCCTATTGAGGGTCCCTCCAGGTCCCACCGAGGCTCCACCTCTTTCCTGGACACCCGCTTCTGAGCATACCATATCTTAATCATCTGAAGAGCCATGCCAGTCCCAGAAATGTGTATTGCTCTTTACTTCGGAGCTGTGTGACTGCTCTGTTCCCAGCAGGGAGCACCTAGAGGAGGGGAGCATCTCCCCAACTAGACTGTGTCAGGCACAAAGATAAAGGAAGGTCACCGAGTGGAGATTGTGGGGACCGACCTGGTGCCTGCCAGCATCAAAGCCAGCACTGAAGGAGAGTAGGGGTGAAGCTTCTGGCTGGGATATGGTACCCCCATGGGCTTCTTGTTGGGGAACCTCAAATAAAACCTGACTGAGAAGATGCTTGGATAGAGCTGGATCAAATATTCCTCCACTCTCTACCCTGGACTTATTGCCATGTTCCCCCCTGCCTACATCCCCACTTCCTGTCATAGTCCCATATGGGGACATGCCAAGGCTACCCATTGGTTGCTGGGTAAGGTGTTTACGGGAAAGGAGCGAGCAGCAAGCCCGTGAGTGGCAGCCTCCAGGGTATAGGTCAGGCTTCTCTACAAGCCAGAGGAAGGCTCCCCAATGAGAGCTGGGCCCCAGAGGGGGACTCCAGCCTCTCTTTACCTCCCCCAGATGACTCAGGCCTCCCTTGGGCAGGGGACTCTAAGCCATGTTGACCTCCCCAGCCATGCTCCTGGTCCCATCTGTCAAAGAGAGCGAGACAAGAACAAAGACCTAGTGTGCTCAGGACAAAGGAGAAAGGTCCTGCCAGCCCTTGTTCTTCCCTAAGCCTGGTGTACCCCTTGGGACCGCCACCATGGAAACCCTCTCCTACACTCAGTAATTGCCCCTGTGGGTGCCTAGGGTGCCTGGGACATGAGCCATTGTCAAGACAACAGAGCTGGTTCTGATGCTGCCTCTTCTCCACAGAGCCCAGTCCCAGCTGCCCTGGCCCCCTGGGTAGCTTCCTAGCACCCTGAGGTGGGAGCTAGGCAGGAGTTGGGGAGAAGAGCTTGGTGACCTTCCTTTCCGTGGGAAACCATCCAGTGGCTGTTGTGGAGGCAACAGAAATGAGACTGTGCACAGTGAAGGGAAAAAGGAGTTGTCCACTTGAGGAGGGAGGGACAGACAGTGTTAGCAATCCACCCCAGCCCATACAAAGGGAGAGACCTTATGAGACAATGGGCTAAGACCTGGTACTCTTCCATGGCTCAGGAGTAGGTTGGTTTGTTTTTTTGCTTTGTTTCTTTAATTGAGTTTTTCTCCAGTGTAAGATTCGGATTAGAGGTCAATGTGGCCTTGGAGGTATGGTGGCACTACCCTGGTCATGACAAAGTCCCTGGTGTCAGTCTTTGTGATACGGTGTTGGAGAAAGAACAAGTGTGCAAACAGGAAACCACGTACCAGCTTTACACTTGGGGGTAATAGGTGTGGGTCCCTGGTTCGGGTGAGAGGTTTCCTGCTTTACACACTTGGGGGTGATAGGTGTGGGTCCCTGGTTCGGGCGGGAGGTTTCCTATCAGCAGTGCTGGGACTCTGGCATGGACCCATCAGAACCTGGAATGTTCTAGTGATGGGGCTATAGAAATTTACCCTGGGAGCCAAACCAGATGATGCACACCTGGAACCCCAGCACCTAGGAAGTGGAGGTAAGAGGATCAGGAGTCCAAGGCCAGCTTGAGCTACCTAGTGAGACCCTATTTAAACCACCCCTCCCTATCCCCTGCCCAAAAAAGTAAGAAAAGCAAAGCACCCCATATACACTTTGTGGTACCTGCCAGGGCCAGGCAGACCTGTCTCCCTCACATGAAGCCTGCTCTGGAGGAAATAGTTACAGAAGGTCAGAGCCTTATCCGTGCTTTCCCTAGGGAGGTGGAGGCTTAGAAGTAGAGTGAACTTGACTGAATCCTTACTACCATGTCAGTCCCAAAATCAACCTCCACTCTTGGCATCCCATGAACCAGCAGTCCCCCTCCCCCAATCCTGGACATCCACTTTGGCCTACTCTCCAGGATGGCCTATGTTAAACATCTCAAAAAGTTAGGCCTGGTGGGGCAGGCCTGAATTCCCAGCTACATGGGAGACCGAGGCAGGAGAGTCACAAGTTCAAGTCTTGCCCGGCCTACTGAGTTCAAGGTCAGCCTGTGTAACTTAGGGAGACTGCGTCTCAAAACAAGAAAGTAAATAGAGGGCTGCAAACAGCTTAGTGGAGGAGCACTGGCTCACTTTTTCTTTTCTTAGACAGGGTTTCTCTGTAGCTATGGAGCCTGTTCTGGAACTAGCTTTTGTAGATCAGGCTGGCGCCTCGAACTCACAGAGATCTGCCTGCCTCTGCCTCCTGAGTGCTGGGATTAAAGGCATGTGCCACACCGCCTGGCTAGGCTCACATTTTTGATGTTAAGAGTGTGTGTGTATGCAGGGGTTGGGTCTATGGCTTCCAGGATTGCAGTCAGGTTATCAGGCTTGGCAGCAAGTGTGTTTATCCACTGAATCATCTTATCATGTATTTTTGTTTATGTATATGAATGTTTTACCTGTATGTATGTATATATACCATTGCTTGACTGATGTCCAAGGAGGTCAGAAGAGAATGTTGAATTCCCTGGAACTGGAGTTGCAGACAGTTATGAGCTACTATGTAGGTGCAGAGATTTGAACCCAGGCCCTCAGGAAGAAAAGTGGGTGCTCTTAACTACTAAGCCATACACTGAGCCATCTCTCAACATCTAACCTTTAACTTGCTAATGCAGCCAAGGCTGGCCTTGAACTTTTAACTTCTGTTCCTGCCTCCATCTTTCAAGTACTGAGATTACAGGTGTGTACACTATATTTGGCTATTTTCCTTCTCTCTCTCTCTCTCTCTCTTTTAGACAGGCTATTGATAGGTAGCCTAAGTTGGGCTGAAACTTGCTGTAGACAAAGCTGGCTACAAAAACATGGTGACATGCCAGGCAGTGGTGGCGCACACCTTTAATCCCAACACTCAGGAGACAGAGACAGGCGGATCTCTGTGAGTTCGAGGCCAGCCTGGTCTACAGAGTGAGTTCCAGGACAGGCTCCAAAGCTACAGAGAAACCCTGTCTCGAAAAACCAAAACCAATATTGAAAGCAGAGGGGCACAATGGAGAAAGGTTAGAAGAAAGATGGGAAAGGAACAGGATAGGACCAACCAAAACTAAGTGGGGCATGATAAGTGGAGTTCCGTTCCATTATGGGGGGAAGTTTATTTTGAGTTGTGCTGATGACAAAACTCTCCATGTATGGGATTACAAGAACAAGTGATGCATGAAGACCCTCAATGTGCCTGAACACTTTGATACCTCCTTGGATTTCTACAAGACGGCACCATATGTGGTTACTGGCAGTGTAGATCAAACAGTAAAGGTGTGGGAGTGCTGTTAATTGAGTCTCATTTGGTTCTTCCTTTTTTTCCTCTGGATGCACTCTGATGATAGCATGGTTACCCCATTTGTGCGCTGTTTAAATAAATATTGTCCTTTCATGTAAATAAAAAAAAAAACAAAGCAAACCAAAAAGACATGGTGCTCCTACTTTAGGATTACAGGTGAATGCCACCATGCCTGGCTGGTTCTCTCTTATTGAGACAGGGCCTTATTTGCTTGTGTTTCGAAACAAAATCTCATATTGCCCAGACTGGTCTCAAGCTCCATATTGTAACCTAAAATGATTTTGAACTCCTTCTAATCCTCCTACCTGCCTCTGGAATGCTTGGATTACAGGTGTGGGTTACCATGCCTCTCTCAAGCCAGGGTCTTTCTATGTAGCCCAGGCTAGCCTTCAATTCACCATATTTCCTCAGCCTCCTGATTGCTGGGATTGCCATACCCAGCTATCGTGTCTTTGTCTTATTGGGTTTTGTTATTGTTTGGTTGTGTTTTCGAATCGGTTTCTCTGTGTAGCCCTGGCTGTCCTATGTAGACCAGGTTGGCCACAAACTCAGAGATCCACCTGTCTCTGCTTCCCAAATGCTGCAATTAAAGGTGTGAGCCACTACCACCTAGTTGTCTTGTTTTGTTTGAGGTAATGGAGTTGAGCCCAGATCCTTACTTATGCCAAACAAGCCCTGTTACTGAGTCACACCCCCAGTCTTCCCCGTGATTTTTCATTTTGAGACAAGGTCTTATAAAGTGACCCATGCTGGCCTTGTGCTTGCTCTGTAGCCCAGCTGGGTATGAACTTGTCACCCGACAGTTCAGACTTTCCAATATCCGGAACGAAGGCCTGTTACAGCAATAAGCACTTGCAGGCTGGGCAGTGGTGGTCAAGCACACCTTTAACTCAGCACTGTGGATGCAGAGGCAGGTGGATCTCTGAGTTTGAAGTCAGCCTGGTATACAGAGGGAGCTCCAGGATGGCCAGGACTACACGGAGAAACCCTGTCTTGGGGGTGGGGGGGAAAGGACTGAAGAGATGACTTGGTGGTTAAGAACACTGCCTGCTTTCCCAGAGGACCTGGGTTTAATTCCCAGCACCCACATGACAGCTAACAACTGTAACTCCGAGATCTGACACCTTCACACAGACATACATGCAAATAAAATAAAAGTAAATAAATTAGGAAAAAAAGAAAGAAAAGGAAGGAAAAAAGAATTTGCTGGAATCACAAGCTCACCTAGTATCCAGAACCCCTACTCCGCCTGACCTGTAAGAATGCACAGTAACCCCCATTTGAAAGTGAGAAACTGAGTCTCCAGGGGCTGCATGACCCCGCTGTACTCCACTTTGTCCCCACAGTAGGACTCCTCTGGAGCTCAGGCCATACTTACAGCAAGGAAGTGGGTGGGGTTCCTGGGGTGGCTCCCCTTATTGTAGGAATCAGAATGGTGACAATTAGGGTGTGGACCTGGAGCAGGAAAAGTCCAGCGGGTTGACGTGCAGGACTAGGGAGCCCTGGATAAGCCACCTTCCTTCCTGAGAGGTAGACAGGGGGCCCTCACAGGCTACTGTGTCCTCACTCACTGGCAAACTACAAAAGCTGCTACCTCTGTCCCCAAGGTGTGCTGGGTCTCCTTAATGCTCTCCTTGCAAAGCTGCTCTTGAGAACAATACAGTTCTGGGAAGCTAAGCGGAGGAGGGAGGATCAGAGTGCTTGGGGGAAGGTAGAGGCCATGGGGGGGGGGGGGTAGACCCTGCGGTGGATCTGGCCCCAGAAGGAAAGTGAAGGGCAGATGTCCAGATCCTGAGCCCAGAGCTCAGGTAAATGATACACACAGCAGATGGCACGAGCTCCGAGTAGGACTGTGTGGTTCACAGGAAGACTGTGCGTGTAACCTGCTCTGTTCTTGGCTGGTGGCCCTGACATGGAAACCAGTGTATTACTGGCTTCACACCAGCATTTTATTGGGCTGCCTTCATGCTACCTAATAGGCAGAGACCCTGACTCAGGAGGCACTGTGAGAGAGTGTCCCCGGGAGCCAGGGGCTCCTGATTAGGATTGACAGCTGCCTGGCTGGGAGCACCAGGCGCTCTGCTCCAACTAAAGATAGGCTTCAGCCTGCACCCAAACCCAGGCAGTCAGTGCCAGTGATAGGCTGGACTCAGTCCTCCCCACACTGCCTCTCCTCACCGTGATCACCCTCGGCTTTTCCTCCCTTCTCCCTGTGGATCTCACTGTAGATCTGTCTGTGTCTAGACAGTCTTTGCCTGGGATCAGGGCTGTGTCCAAGGGTACCCCTCTGTCCTGTGAACTACCTCTGTCAGTTGTCGGATCCCAACACCCTCGGGCCCACAAATCCCTTGTCCTAAGCCTGAGGTGCAGAGAGGAGGGGCCGCAAGGGAAAGGGGGAGGCGGGGCCCTGGCATGAATGCAGGCTGCCCCGCCCCAGCATGGCCAGGCTCACTATATAAGGGCACACCACTCGCAATAGTGCCGCCACCACTGCTGCACTCCCTTGGTCTCTGCCTACCCGCTCGCTCGACTGCCCAACTTGGCTCAGTTGCTGCTACCAGCAGGTACCCCGTTCCTGGTTCCTGTCCTACCCCAGGGGAAGCAGGGAGCAGGGATAAGTGGGAATGCAGGTTGG